GAAAGGCGTGGATGCGTGCTCCATTTGAAAGTAACGGCGGCTTTCTTAGTGGGGTATTACCGTTTTGAAGAAATTGTAAGCTTAGCCTCATCGAGCACGGAGGGGGGGGGAAGCAGGATGACAATTGTCTCAGATGGCGAAGACGGAGAAACTCGTCAATGCTATGCACAGATGAAGCACACAACCAAACCTCTCCATCTATGGGATATGGAGTGTACTTCACCACGATAAGATAACTTTAATGATCCCCGCTATGTGTAATTTGCTGCATCCGTTTGTTTGTTTGTCTGTCTCTCTGTCTGCTTTTTTGTCCGGAAATTCGGTTCTGCCTGAGCAACTAGGGGAGGTGGGATGAAGTTGGTTAGGTAGGGCATGGGACAAGAAGCACACGTGACCCATGCATGAAGAGCACACATGACCTGTGCGAAGCTCCGCCCACAGCGGGCAGGGCACCGGAAAAAGTCCATCACAATCAGCGAGAAGTTACCAGAACTCAAGTGGGAGGCACACCTAAAATGGGCGAAGCATGCGGGGCCAAAGTAATGTATTTTCGTTCTGTACCACCTTGGAGACTGGGGGGAAAAAAGGAGTGAAAGTGAGCAGTGAGGCGTATTGCTGTGGGAGAGGCCCAAATAACCCACAATGGGCCGAGCGTGGATAAAGGGGAGCTTTAATATAATGAAAAAACGAAAAATCTTCCCAGAAAACCTATAGATCAGGAAAAAACCAATGGTATGCAAGAGGTTGGCTATTGAAGTGAGAGAAACACGCCCACGGAGGGCGGAACATGCGAACTATTAGTTAGCGTTGACCATGTGTATAGATAAAAGAGAAGCTGGGTATTGGCTGCTTATCCAAACATACGAAAAAAGGTACACGGGGTGAAGCCTCTCCGTATCAGAAGGAAGCGAGCCGACTGGTTGCTAATACTGGAGGTAGCGGGTTGGGATCGGGCGGGCAAGACGACGATTGAACGAACTTTCAACTGAGAACATGAAAGACATCCAGCTGGTAGAGTTGGAGCGCTAAAACTTTTGAACTTCGGAGTTTTCGAATCAATAAGTTAGGCACTGCTTCTACTTACAAAGTAGAAACGTTGGATCGCAGTGGCAGCTAACAACTCATTTATGAAATCGGTTCAAATGACGATTTATGCAGGAAAAATCATGTAGTATTCTATAGCGTAGATACTGTAAAGTGTGGTCATTTTTTTGGGTTTTTGAACACGATTTTTGAACAAGCATAGTTTTTTAGCATTGTATTTTTACCCGATATTGCCGTATCCTCTACTTTTTGGTTTGCACAGTTGACAGAAATCTCTCCCGCACATCTATTTATATGGCCAACGTAGAACGACCGCAGTGAACTTGTTTGCTTTAGGCCTGCCTCAGCGAGAACTGTTTCATCTACAGTTCATTGGTTGGCCTGATCACGGTTGCCCGGAACAACCGGAATCTGTGCTACGTTTTTTGGATGCCGTAGATGTAGCCTGTAAGAAGGCGATCTCTACGCAGGGTCCCGTTATTGTGCACTGCAGGTTCGCTCAGTATTCTTTCAAAAAAATTAGTACTCATGCAGGTTTTAAAGATGCTCTCAATGTTATTAGTTTTTCGTTAACATTTCAGCGCTGGTATCGGGCGAACGGGCACATTTATAGTGATTGATATTCTCCTTAACCAAATTCGGCATAGAGGTACGATTCCTTTTCCCGAACAGCCGTTGAACTGCGTTCATACTTTGCAGCAGTGTCCAACAGCGACCACCTGCATTTCAAGCGTGCGCCAGCGTCGCAGCGACTAGAAATTTATAGCTATCGTCTAGCGAGCGCCAGCGTCCACCAGCGTCCAGAGAGAGAGTACGGAGATTTAGGAGGGTAGCAGACAGCTGAATTAGGCGTCGGGAAATTGGGGTGTGTGCAACTGCACTGTACAACTGCTAAAGAACAGAACTATTAAATGAGAGCAATTTAATGCACGGCACAGTAGCATACGCCGCAACCTTCGACGCCTAATCCAGCCGTCTGCTATCCTCTTACTTCCCATACTCTCTACTCCTGGATGCTAGCGGACAGTCTAGTGATCGCCGGTGGACGCTGCCGGAATGTGTGAAAGCCGCCTTACAAGAACTTTTTCAGTAATAATAATTCTGTATGATATAAATAATGCGTGGATTTGTTAAGGAAGCTCTTGTCCAATCGATATTCCACGTACAGTAATGAAAATACGCGAACAGCGAAGCCGTATGGTTCAAACAGAAGCCCAATATGTCTTTCTGTACAGAGCAATTAGTTGCTACATAGCTATGCAAAGTCGGGTGAGTAATGCTTCCGTCTTTTCTTTTCTTTTCTTACTTATTTGGTATAATCTTGAGGAGTCATAATTACTTGTAGTCTCGACATCCTTCCGATGAGACGGGTACCGGTGAAGGAGGACATCCACTTCATCTTCCACCACCACCAGTTCCGCGACGGCGAGCGGTACCGGAGGTCGCTCAGGCATACGTGAATAACGGATAGTACAAAACTACGGTATGCGGTTTCCATTTCTTTTTGTCAACGTCTGTAAATGAAGACCCTTGAAGACAGACCTCCGCGTTCAAGCAGTTCGTAGTAGTCCTTCCTTGAGCAGGCAGTTGAGTAGCACAGACTTAGAGATGTCCCACTTTCGCCACTTCACGGTAAGCGAGGTAGTGTGTCGAAAGTTCTATTCTTGACACGTGTTGGACCGCCCA